TATATATATATATATATTCGTGCATGTATGTACAGACAATTATGTTGGGATGTTTTTTCTGTTAATATCTTCCTGTTTCCGTTGAGTTGTTTGTTATCTTATTTTATGGAAATTTACAGCCAATTTTTATGCATTTACGTATCCCACACCTAAAAATTCGTATTTACAGAAAAAGCACTCTCCCCATGCGTGAAAGGGTAATTAGTATTGTTTTGTATGTGATTGGAAAGAATTGAGTGCTTGGCTTGTAAAAATGGAGAAATATTTGCGTACATAAGATGCAGAAATGCAAAGAATTGGGTGCTACGTACTTAAATTCTCATTTATTTTATCATATTTTATATCTAAGTATCTTAGTTTATTGATTTATAATTATTATTGTGCTTTGTTATTTTGTCATGACCTTAAATTTGTGTTTTAAGACATATTGATGGAGATTAGAGCAAGGCTACGTGAGATACTCAGGTGATGTTTACTATTGAATGAGATGAACCATAATTTCTCCATATATTTTATTTGATAGATAATTGTATTTACGATTTTTTTATGGTCTAATTATTAGGTGCGGAGGGCGCACGCAGAGTTGTGTGTGCCCTCCGGTCACAGCAGCACATCACGGCTGTATGACTATGACAGTGGTCCCACTGTCATACAGCGCGATGTGCGGCTGTGATCGGAGGGGGCGCGCCCTTCGCACGCAATAATCGCTCTATTTTACGAGAGATGGTACAAATTCTCAATAGCATTGCAATCCTATTAAAATTGGAAAATGACACAACTTATATTTAAATTTTAGACTTTATGCTTTAAATTGCTGGTTTGTTAGATTGGTATTTCTGGATTGACTTTAGTGATTGTAATTGCAAATTTGTTGGCATGATTTAGGGCTGCGAAAAGCTGTAATGATTTGCAGGACTGATTTACTGAAATGCTAATTTGTTCATATGCATTGTTTTTTTTTTTATAATTATTCCGGTACATTTTCAATATTGGAGTACATTGTCTTTCTCAGGCTGTAAACGAGTCGAGCTTGAGATAGCTTAAGCTTGGCTCGTGTTCGGCTCGTTTCAAATTGATCGTGTTCGAAATTGGCTTGTGAACATTGTGTTCGTGTTCGGCTCGATTTAAATATTTTTATTCGTGTTCAGCTCAAAATTGGTTTTTTCAAATTAATTGGAAAAAATAGATGTTGAGTTTTTGATTCGAACCTGGACCAAATCTATGAAAAAAAAAGCACACAAAACCATATTATCACACGAGCTGCTTTTATTGATTTAAACTTAGATATAAATATACATAATATATTATTATATAAATAATATATATAATATATTATTATATAAAAAATTATATGATTTTTTTTTATTATTATTTCAAGCTGAAATGAGCGGAATACGAACAAACAAAGAGTTGTTCATATTCAGCTCGTTTATAATTCGAGCTTTAAAAAATTGTTCACCTTCGGCTCGCTTATTTAACGAACGAGCCAAACACTGAGCTGTTCGTGAAAAACTAGATTTTTTGACAGCCCTAGTTTCATCGGGTTGATTGCTATTTAAGGTGCATGGTCCCCTGAGATTGGAGAAATGAAAGAATAAAAACCAAAATAATTTTAAATTTATAAATATGATCGTAATTTTCTAATATATTTTTTATTTAAAAATTTAAATTTAAATTGATTGTAATACAGTTATTTGTCCGTTAATTGTCGAGTTGTAGTTAGTTATTGTAATAATAAATTCAGACCAATATATATATAAAATATTAAAATTTGGGTGTTAGATTAGTAAATACAAAAGAATAGTGTGGCATGTATTGATATTGCATAAACAATTTTCAACATCCAACATGAATCTGGGTCATTGCACAAAGCTCGACGTAATTTTTTAGCAATAAATTTTCAAATTTTGATTAAAAGTCATTTAGAACTTTGATTTCAGCAAACTTACAGTCAACTTGACCGGCTCGATTTGACGGACCCAACGACGCTGAAATTGGTTTAATCTTAGTCAAATGAAACCCAGATCAAGTTGTTAAATCACATTTAGAAGTTTTACAAGCAAAATTGAAAGATCAAGTAGATTTTGAATATGACAAGTTTATAGTCAAATCGAGTGGATCGACAAGACGAATCAAATAAGCCCAAGATCACTCAGTTCTAACATCCCTATGGCACTGAAATGTCCATCGTACGATTTCCGATCAAAGGGATATCTCTGAGACGTCCGATTAAGTGTGGTACGGATTCATTTCTTATTTGTAACATGAACTCTATAAATAGAGCCCTACCCGCTCATGAGAAGTGGATCAAGAGCGTGAAGCCCGAAAAAAGCTTAAGCTTAAAGGAGTTAACGTCGAGCATTACATTTGGCCGACGATCCGATGAACGCCTCCTGAATGTGGTACAAGTTTTTCAAGTAAAATCTACTGATATTTGTCTTCTCTTCATTTCTATTATCTGAATGTGTATTAGTTTTTCGTGCAACACTAAGACGTTAATTTATCCCTCTACCGCCGCGAATTCTCTTGCACACAACACACATCTAAATTCCCAAGTCAAGGGAAATTTAGACTGCCTAGTGATTGATCAAACAAGCAGACTCCAGCTTTATCAAAAGCTCCCCGTGTTCCACTTTGCATCAACCCATAAGATTTACAACAGATGACCAAAACAAAGTAGGCTGCTCCAAATTCTCTCTCCCTTAAAGATGGTCAGTCATCTCTCTCTCTCTCTAAAAATTCTTCATTGTTCCCCAATTATTGGAGGACTTTTCATACAAACTTACATTTTCTGATATGAAATAAAGCACACTAAGTGCAAGAAGTCATCTCCTCAGAAGAGTCTCACTGCTTCTAGATCCCCATCACAACTACAAGCTTTTCTTTTAA